ATCTCTTTTAATTTTCCTCTAGAATACATGGCGTCAATATTTTAAAGAGAAGGTGAACTATCTACAATCATGTTTGTAATTCAAAGATGGTACATTTTATTTTTATGTTTAGGCTACACATGTCAGTAATATTTTATGAACACTATTATACGAAAGAAAAATAAAATTACAGATTTTGTCTAGTAACTGGTAAGTATCATTTTCTATGTGTGACTGTTCATTCATATGTATAGACGAGTTTGACGGGTTTTTCTTACTTTTGGTCGAATATTTTGACCTTCGATGCTTGTTAGTCTCTCCTCATCGTACAGAAAAAGATAAGAACCTGACATCTGTTCATTGTATGACAACTGGCGATTTTGATTAGAAGAGAAAAGGGAGGGACTGGGCCCGTCTGGAAAAAGTATTTACAAATTTTGACGAGTAATATTTTGCACGATGGAGCTACCAAAATTTTTGTTACCCTTGCAAATTTTTTGAATTATTCACCAAAATTATATAGTTTTAGGGTAAAAAACTTCCTCAACGTAGACTTCTTATCTAGTCAAGAGCAGGAGCACTTTCAACTCGTACAATGTTAATTGCTTTTTTTTTGCATGGGCAATAGAGGAGCATCCGTCTCTTGATCTATTCCTAAAGGCGTAGAATTTTATTCAAGTACTCACACAGTTTCATTAAAAAAAGACTTTATTATACCTATTTGTTTCAAAAAAAGAATATGGGTGCAGAACATTCACGTCATCGTGCGGCGACCGCTGGCGGTAGCAGCACCTCAAATTCTCATCATCAAACAGGTAATGACTATTTCTATATATAACTACTTATGCTCTGATATATACAACGCACAAAATTAAAGCATGATCACTATTAATCATTTTCTTGAGCATGCGTTTTTATTTCTAACTTGTTCGAAAACTGGGCAAATGGGCTGGGCTTGCTTGCAATATATATAATTACATTTTATTTTACTACTGTACTATTTTAATCGAAAATTTTTTCATTTCCTTAGTTCTATTTGATTTGTTTAATTCTTCTTGTGACAGATCGTTAGATAGTTCTCCAAAACAATTTTCACACGAGACTGCACACAGATAGATAGTTCACTTTCGGCAACGATTCTGAATAGACTCAAATAAAAAACTACATCGTAAGGATGTAAATAGAAATTCCACCGTGATCCATAAGGAAAAAAATTATTTAAATTTCTCGTATTAGCAGTGATTTCTTTTTTGGCTTAATTAATGTGACAAGATGACAATAGTTATTTTTCCGTTTCTATTCACATCAAAATTCTTTATACACAAAACAACAACATATACTACTGAGGACTTGATATATAATTTTTATTTATTCTGAAGGACGAACTCTCTAACTTTATGTATCGGCTTATTTTGTTCTTTTTCCCTCCTAGGATTCTGTTAGTAGTAGAGCATAGTCAGGATATCCTAATCAACTCTGAATAGTTTTATATTTACTTATATCCGTCACTCCTCTACCAATCAGTCAATAGGTCATTTTATTCAGGATGCTCTGTATACTAGATGCTTTTTTATATGCTGATTTGGATCAATACGAACACAATTGTTTGGTGTTGTCGAAACAGTAACAGGGCATCCATTGAAAGCATTTCTATCAGCTGAATAATGATGAATTATGTTCGACGTCAAAGCTGAATTCAAAAAGCGGTTAAAGTTTACTACAATTGTTCTAGTATTAGTCCAAATTAACATAATAAAAAAAGTGACATATTGACTGATTGACAAACGAGCAAATATAAAACTATTTAGAATTGGTCAGGATATTTTAACTGCACTCTCTTCCACTACTTACAGAACCCTTTAAGAGAAAAAAGAACAAAATAAGTCGATACTCAAAGTTAGACAACCTGTTCTTAATCTTACATTCTTTCTCGTCTTTTTGTGATTTTGTTTTAATGAATAAGAGATATATTAAGGAACTAAGAATTATTTATATTATACATGTTCTAATAACATATAGTGCAGCTGTATTCGTATGATTCAAGGAAATAATAATGCGCAGTCAAGAAACGAAAAAACAATGGTGTTATGCACGTTAGTTCGATTGCTAAAATGGTATTTTTCTTCTTGTATATATATATATATATATATTAGCGTCCAGATTATACTGGATCCGACATTGGACGCTGAATATATGTGTGGGGATATTTATATATCGACAATAGCAAAAAAAATTAGTATTAGATTTTTTTCTTGTTTTCCTATAAGCGAAAAGCGATGAAAATCTTTTTGTTTCTCACACACAAATGCTGAGAAAAATTGTTATTCAAAAGTAATGAGACAATAAAAGAGGAAAGTACACGATCAAAAGAAATCGGAACATTAGAAAAGACTTACTATATTTTTCCTTAACTAACTAAAAATGATGTTGAAATAAGCCTCACCCCTCAAATTAAATGAAGATTTGAATACCTTAATTAATATTTTAATTTATATAACATTTTTAATGTTCTAATTTTTTGTACTCTTATACTACAAATTCAGCTTCAAGCATGATACGCTTTCTCTCTGTGCTATGATAACTTCTATCTTTGTTTTTCTGACATTTAAATTTGTTCGTCATGAAGTGAGTTCTCTTCTGTGTTTTAGGCGATCTGTCAACAATAAAAACTGTGGTCACTTCCGATTTATCAAAACATAAACAACATCATCCAAGGATGGATCGCTTGAGGCGCACATTAAGTTTTCGAAAAAAGAAAACAACAAAAGCAAATTCAACCGAAAATAAACCTCAACAATGGCAAGAAGATGAAAAACACGTACGAATTGGTGCATGTAGTTTTAATGTTAAAGTAAGCAAGATGTTAAACAGAGATCTTTATTGTAAAATAATTGGATAAAAAATTTTTTTTCTTCTAGTACTTGGGTAGTGTTGAAGTACAAGAGTCAAGAGGCATGCACGTTTGTGAACAAGCAATTCAAGCACTTTTGAATGTGAGTTATATTTATGAAACTAACTGAAAATATCTAGCCTTTTCCCGATTATTATTTAGCAAAAATCAAAACATATTCGAGCTGTGCTACATATCTCAGGAGATGCACTTCGTGTATCATCAATTGATGAAACAAATAAAGTGAGTAGGCTAATCAAAACCTATTTTTCGTTGTTTTTATTAATAGTTTGAATTTTAGGGTTTGATTGTTGACCAAACAATCGAAAAAGTGTCATTTTGTGCCCCTGATCGTCATCATGATAAAGGTATACTTTTAAATGATTTTAGAAGAAAGAATTTGAGTTTTTATTTCTTCAATTTTAGGTTTTGCTTATATCAATAGAGATGGCACCTCTAGACGATGGTTATGTCATGGATTTTTAGCCATTAAAGATACTGTATATATCATTACATGATGATGCTTATGTTAAATCATAATTGACTTTTCCTTTTATTTATATAAGGGTGAACGTTTGAGTCATGCTGTTGGATGTGCATTTCAAATATGTTTGGAAAGAAAACAAAAACGTGATCGTGAATGTGGTGTCACTGTCGAATTTAATCATGATGGTACATCATTTACACGTTATGGTTCATTTCGCTCAACTTCATTAACAGAACGTATTATTGATCCACAAAGTGCTATTATTGCCGGTTCGTTATTTGCTTTGTTGTTATGATTGATTGATAAATTTTCAGCGTTAATTTTTAGAGCCAGTTCCATTATCGCCACTATCGAATAATTCAAATTCCTTGCGTCGTGGTCCAACCGAGAGACCAAGACCAAAAGGCGATAATGATGCATTTACACGTAGTGCATCCTTACGATTAGGCGAACTAAATCAACCATCATTCAAACGTCAGACATCACTAAGGCCAGGTGATTTACCATCGACACATGAAGCAAAAGTAAAAGATTTCACAACGAATAAAATAAATCAAAATAGCAGTACGTTAGGAAAAACATTATTATCATTAGATGTCTGATATATTTTTTGTTATTTTTGTTTTATCTGCAGTACCAGAAGAAATTGAACCTAGTCCAACAAACGATTTGGCAAAGTTATCTCTTATGGAAACGACTAATCTAAATGGTAGTTTTATAGTTTATATCTTAGCTTTTTCTAATTATATCATTTTACTTTCTAGGATACTCATATTCAGATTCTACCACAAAGCAGCAACAAAATTTTTTTAAACCTTCTTCACCAACAGTTGTACAGCATCCATCTTACACTAATGTTACGAATGAAAACGCTCAACAACAAACAAATTCGTCGAATCTAAATCATAATGGCCTAATGTATTATCCACTCTCATCAACATCATCGTCTTTACCGTCACAGCAACAACAACAGACTCCACATTCAAATCGTTTAATAAATGACGCTGTCGATACAAATTTGACTGAACTTGTTTTAAGTTCTAATCCAATTAATCCATTTTCACCGTACGGTTACTACGTCGCACAACAACAACAACAACAACAAAATATCGCTGCACCAACATCACCCAATGTTTCATCGCATCATCACAATCATAATTCTGTAATATTTTCTCCAAAACGTTCAACAAATCCCTTTGACGAAGATTTAATACACCGTTAAGAAGAATATTTTGATTCACATGTTGTTTTCTCTTTTTTGCAGTAGTATTATGGTATTCATATTCTGTCTTGTCAAATAATATATTCAATTCTTATTTCGTATTTTTGCTATCACTTAGCCTTTTTCTTCTTCCGTATTTTAGCTTGTATCTGATTTTTTTTGGTTTTTGCTACTGTTGTTGTTGTTCTTTTACACATACGTTGGTTTTATATACTTTATTTTTCGACTCACCATCAAAATTGTAATCGGCATTCCTGCGCTTCTGATTGACATACGTCTGTTTTTTTCTTTTGTTATGATATGTTGCTAATAAAATTTTATCAGGTTGTTCCGTTTTTTCTTTTTCTTTTTCTTTTTTCTTAATATATTAGAATGCAAGTGATTTAGCCAGATTATTACACTTGTCTATTTTCTATCTATTCTCATTTTATATACGTACATGAATTTTTTTTGTTTTTCATTTATTATTCAATAATCGTTAGAACAATTAACTTTCTTTTTGTAATTATTATTTTTTTCTTGCTTGTAACTTCTATTTAACAAAACAAACAAAAAATCGTATAGGATTTATAATGAGAAAGACAAAAAAGAAATTTTTTTCGAACGTGTTATTTAAATCAGAACTTCTTTATATGTTGCGCTTGCACAGTTCTAGTTCTACCATTACTGTTAGATACATAATATCAAGTTTTGTAGATAGATATTAAGATGTATTTTTTTAATTACAAACATAAAAAATCACTTTTAATTTATCGACTATATGTAGAAAGAAAATCTAATTTGTTAGCTCGTCTATTCTGCTTTGTACCATCGTAATTACGTTTTGAGAAAATCAAATATTTCTTCATACAATGATCATTGAGAATCTTGTGATTAATATCAATTTTGTTTTTCTGTTATTCTATTGATTTTGTTTTTTTTCTGGAGTTTAAACAGTGATGATAATATGCTAAATGTTTTTCTTTTTGAAATATCAGCTAACAAAAAGAAGCATGAAATAAAAAAGAATAATTTAAAATAAAAAAAAAGGGATTTTCTTGTATTTTAAAAAATGTAAATAAATTATTACGAACTGTTTTTCTTTCTCAATTTGAATTAATTATCATGTTTAGCAAGAATTTTGTTTTTTTACCGAAATACTATTGTTATTTTTAAAGAGATATTCATCTGACTATACACGTTTTTTGATCGAAGATTATTCCATTAATCTCTCACTGACTAAACATCAAGTTTTTTTGGTTTCATTTAACATTGAAAATAGTAAACAACGCCATTTAGCCGACGAATAACTTTGATTATTTCACTGAACAAATATTACAAAGTCTTTTTGACAGCTATTCTATTAAATGTATTCGTAATTATTTATACATCTGATTCAAAACAAAACAAATAGAATATTATTATGGGATAATCGTTTATATACAAGTGTTCCAGTTGAATGGACTATTATGGAATTTTTTGTTTTTGATCAACAAAGATTCAAAATTATCAAAAGTTGATTTTGTCTGGTTGAAATAGATCTTGCAAGATTAATTCTATCAAAAATGTTAATTGTTAGCGAATAAAGTATTTTATTGAAGAGTATCAATGCTCTGATGGTTTTACAGAGAAAATAATATACGAAAAAAAGTTGAATATACTTGTTCTTTGTACGCGCGTATTAATGATAGTTGAGATATGAAAACGTCGCTAGAATATAAGCAATTAGCTTAAGATGAAGTCAAAACAATTCAGTTTATGGTACTTAACAAACGGATGGTGGTTATATTTGCGTATTTGAAGCGCAAGAAGGAGTTGTCAGAACTCATATTCTTTTTCATGAAGAATGATAAATCCAATAATAAATTAAATAGCTTAAATAGCTCGTGGTATTGCTAGGATTTTGTTAGTGGGTAGACGTTGCCCAAAATTTTTTCAATGAGAAAGAACGAGACATCAGAATTCCACTATTTTTGATGTTACACGTCTTCAGTAGTAAGCACACATTTGGCGACACAATCGAGAAGATCTCAATCTTTCATAATTATTTGATCGAAATATTATTTATCTAACGAGCTCATCTACACAGTCAATTGACTATAAAATATTAGCTAAGAGTGGTGTGAATTACAAAATTTTTAGGGAAGGGAGGCAGAAACATTTAGTAAAGGGACAACGCTTTTTTTTTTTCTATTGAAATTTTTACTTTCTATGAAAAGTCTCATTATTATTTGTTTCTGATGGTTTGCTGCTTTGTTAGCCACAGTTATTTATAAGAATTTTAGTTGAAGGATGTTTTATTTTTGTATTCATCCACTACCAGTTCAAATATAACAATAATAGAGAAGATATTAATAGGCATATTCTATGCCTATTAGATTATGAAGCAAGTAATAGGCAAGATTGAAGTAATGCTACTGATTGAACTTACATTAGTTCGTCTTATATTACAAACATTTTAGATGTCTACCCTTTTATGTAATACATGGCGAACTTTACAGTTAATGCCAAAATTAAATCTAGTTGGAAAAGTAAGTCTTTTCTCATCACTAATTTATGCGTATTAGTCAAATTACTAATTATTTATACTTATAGTCTTCATTATTAAGATTAACACCGAATATCGAACAAATTAGAACAAGTGGCACCGGTTATCCTGGTCGAATGATGTTACGTGATATAAAACGTCGAGAATTGATTCGAAAATATTGGCCAAGACGTTCGAGATATATAATGTTGAAAAATAACATGATACTACCAGAATCATTTCGAGTATATTTCAAATTTTCGTTTAAAATATAAATTCAAAGCAATCTGTTGTTTTAGAATTATTGTAAAGAAGAAGAATTTGCTGTATTTCCAAAGGAAACACAAGATTGGTGGAGATGGAATCGTTGTGTACGTATAACAGTGAAGAGTAATCAAAAGATTAACTTATTTTTTGGTTTATAGGTATTAACATCACGGCAATGGGGTGTGCTTGAAGATTGGAGAGTTGGACGTATTGTATGGCGAAGATTTGCTGATTATAACCAAATGTCTGGTGTTATGCGTAGGAATCAAGATCGTTATACAATTAGGAACGCTGTAGAAATGAGCAGAGATAGGCGTATAATTAAAGAAGATCCTTAATCATGAAAGATGTAGGCTTTTTCTTTTTTGTTTTAATTTTTTTGTATTCTTTCCTTTACATTTGATATTACATGCTTTAGAAGATTTTCTAATTACGTTTTAACAATTGATAATGTAGGGGAAAGGGTTATTCAGCATACAGTAATAGACAAATGAGTTATACATATAAAAAGTGGGCTTTAAGCACTATTTTGTCACATTTTTTGATAGATGGGAACACGTGTGTTTTTTATGCTTTTTTTAAAAGGTTTTGCAATAGGTCTAAGAAGGAGATTACGTAAAACCGCTGCTTTTCTTAACCCTTGCATAATCAACTATTTCTATGTAGATTCTTTTCGGTCAAAATAAGATGTGAACAAGTTTGAAGTAGATACGAAGCATTTTCATATAAATTCTGGAATGCACTAGTACACAAACCAAATTTTCTAATTAGCGGCGCTGATAAGAATCGTCCTAACATCGTTCCCTATATATTCTTAATCTTAGATATCCCGCGTAAATTTCTTTGTTTGAAACGAAGTATTTTTCGACCACGATAGACTTCTGTTCTCGAGAAAAGTGAAGATCTTCAGTTATTTAGAATAGAAATTTTCGTTGCATCCAAAATTAGTGAGCAGATAAAAATGACTTGGATAAATTTTAGATGTATTTTCTTTCAGAATAAACTACACATCTGTGGTAAATGATACGAAAATGCCTCGTCAGTGATTTTCCTGAATGTTCAATGCTACTCCTTGAGTGACTTAAAACTTTTGAACAATTCCATATTCGGATGAGAATTTTTTTCATAATCTGACACACTCAGGAAAAATTCGAATAAAATCGAATGTACGGTATAGAAAAAAGAATTTTGAGTACTTCAGACAGTAGTATTTACAGCTTCGCTGTTTTTTATTCTCCGAATTCTATGAGAGTTCAATAATAGAGAGAGGATCATGTCAGTGGACGGAGAGTACATCCTACTAATAAATTGTCTGTCACATTCGGCATCCAACATCTAGGCAATTCAAAATACAGTAGAGAACTTTAGACAAATGACGCACGCGCGCTTCCGAAATTTTCTTTTCTTTGATT